AAGCCCCCGGGTCCCGCAAAGCTGGAACCTGCGGGAGCGAAGAAGGCGAGTGGGTGGGCGGGACGCGGGGCCAGGGCCCGTTCCTGCCCGTCATGGGTCCCCCCCCCACCACGTACCCGGGGCACCGTAGTCGGCGGCGGCCCCTGCCGGCGGTGGCGGCAGCGGCGGGAAGGGCGCGGGGCCGGGCCCCAGCGCCGCGATCATCTCCATGATGTTGGGCAGCACCATGTGCGTGGGGCTGAGAGTCCGGCACCGCTTCAGCGCCGGCCCCTCCGGCTCCTCCTTGATGTGGATGTCGGGTTTGACTGGGACAGGCTTCCAACTGCAGGTCGGGTCGATGGTGATCTCCTCGTGCTCCGAGCTGGGGGAGGCAGGAAGGTGGTGGTGGGGGGTGTGAGTCTGGGGGGCATCCGTGCCCCCGGGGGTGGCACAGTGCCAGTTATGGAGGGATGGAGCAGGGACACCTACTTCTGAATGTAGATCAGGATGCCTAGCATGTACTGGTCCACCTCCAGCCCCTCCAGCAGGGCCGTCTTACTGCAGGCAGGGAGAGGCAGGGTGAGGGCAGGGAACGCCCCCCACCCCCTCTCCCCGAAGGCAGAGAAGGCGGGGCACAGCCCCATCGCCCCCCACTCACTTGCAGACAGGACACCGCCATGTCCCCCTCTCGCAGTTGAGCTGCAGGTAGGACTCCAGGTCAAAGCACTGCGGGGACAGAGAAGTGGCTGAGCTAGTGGCAGGAGGATACGGGGTGGGGGACATCCCCCCAGCCCCCAACCCTACCTGTATGTGCCGGCAGTCGTGGCCCCTGGCCGGGAGCTGAATCCTCCGGAAGGTGATGGGGCACTTGAGGGACACCTTGATGGCTGTCTGCTCCACGCCGTCCTCACCGTTGGGCCCTGGGGTCCCTGGGATTGTCCCACTGCTGAAGTTGCGCTTGACTGGGTGGGGGGGGAGGGTACAAGGGTCAGAATTGGGAGGCCAGGATGTGGGTGGCACTGGGGTGGCACCTGGGCATGGTGCTCCATCACCCCCTTCATGCTGCAGTCCTGGACTGGCACGTGTCCCCCCCCACACCATGCTGGAGTGTCCAGACCAGTGTGTGCCCCCAACCCAGCTGCAGCCCTGGACCAGTGCATGCCCCACACACACACTGTGCTGCAGCCCCCAACCAGGGTGTCCGCCCCCTCTATGCCAGTGTCCTCGGACCAGCGTGTCCCTCCAACATACTGCAGCCCCCAACCAAGGTGTTTCCCCTCACCGGAGGGAAAGCGTGTCCTCCACTCTGCCAGCACCCCTGGACCATAGTCTCCCCGCCACACCACGCAAGAGTCCCCAGGTGAGCATGTCATGTCCCCCTTGATGCTGGAGCCCCCAACCCAAGTGTGTGTCCCCACTATGCTGCAGCCCCCAATCAGGGTGTCCCCCCTGCTGCATCAAAGTCCTCAGACCAGGGTGTCGCTCCATGCTGGAGCCCCCTGATCAGGGAAGGGGGGGTATGTGTGTCCCCATGCCAGAGCCCCTGGACCAACACGTTGACATCCCCCCCATGCTGGAGCCCCCAGACCAGAGTGTGTGTGTCCCCCACGCCAGAGCCCTCAGATGAGGGTGTTCCCCACACTGTGCTGCAGTCGTTGATCAAGATGTGTTCCCCCCTTTTCCCCGCCATGCCAGAGCTCCTGGACCAGCATATTGTAATCTCCCCCTCCCATGCCAGAGACCCCTGGACAAGGGTGTCCCTCTACACCATGCCAGAGCCCCCACACCAGAGTGTCCCTGCCATCGTGCTGCAGCCCCTAACCAAGGTGCCCCCCACCTGCATGCCAGAGACACCCAGATGAGTGTGTCCTCCCCCACTGTGTGGGAGCCCCCAGACCCTCTCCCTCCTGTCCCCTTGTCCCCGGGGGGTGCCAGCGGTGGTGCTCACTTTTGGTGATGCAGTGCTCAGCAGGGAGCAGGCGCTTCTTGATGAGCCCCTGCAGCACTGAGCGCACCGAGGGCCGGTGCACCAGCTGCAGGACGAAGAGGTGGGACTGCAAAGAGAGAGGGGACACTGAGCCATGGCCCCAGCTGCCACTGACCCCTCGGCACCCCCCGGCGACTCACACAGCAGCAGGCGGTGACGGTGATCTGGATGGTGTTCCTGCCAGGCTGGCAGACATGCTTCAGGTAGAGAGGCTTGTGGGAGGTCTTGTTGTCACCACGCTCGATGGTGAGCGGCGTGGCGTTGACGCTGACCTGGACGGAGGCCGGCCAGTTGGTGTTCATCTGCCGGTCCTCGTGGTGGTAGCACTTGAACTGCAGCTCCAGGTCGGGCCTGGTGGGTCAGGGTGGGGGGTGGCTGGGGGGTGGCAAGGGCTGTGCCCCCGCACGAGCCACCACACCGGGTACCACCATGCCACATGCCACACAGCACTGTGACAAGCTATGCCAGTTGCCACCACACTGCACGGTGCTGTGCCATGTCGAGCCACACCACCAGGTACCACCACTCCATACAGCAGCACCATGCTGGGCCAAGCATCACCATGGGTACAGCACCACGCCATGCTGAGGCATCTGGGTACCCGCGCACCGTACAGCACCATGCCGTGCCAGGCACCGCCACACCAAGCCATGCAGCGGACCATGACACAATGTGGCACCGTACATTGACACGCCACACTGTGTGGCACCGCCCCGCACCGTGCCAGGCTGCAGCACGTCGTGCCACAGTGCTGCTTGCTTGGCGCCACGCCGTGCCGCACCTCGCCGCGCCCTGCCCCCCCACCTCATCATGAGGGTCTTGTAGACAGAGTCACGCAGCTGGAAGACGTGGTTGCTGACGGCCAGGTTGTGCTGCAGGCGGAAGGGCTCCAGCACGACGCCGTCCCGCACCGGGAAGGTGAGGCGTAGCTCCTCCCCGAGCGCCGGCCCTGTGGGGAACCCCCCTCGTCAGCCGGGACCACGCCCCCCAAGCCCCGCCCCTTGCCTCGGACCCCACCCTGGGGAAGCCCCGCCCTCTCCAGAACACCCCGCCCCTAGGGAACAAGCCCCTCCCACTCCGGGTCCTCACGCCGTAACACCCACCCACTCCAGGATGCCCCGCCCACCAAAGCGGCCCCTCCCGGCTGAAGCCCCTCCCACTGAGGTCCCCACGCCTTTGAAAAGCCCCCACCACTTCCTATAGCCCCGCCCCCTCCGTATGAAGCCCCGCCCACTACCCCAAGCCACCCTCTCATTGGCCAGTAGCCGTGAGGTCCCTCCCACCACGGCGTCTATGGGGAAGCCCCGCCCTTTTCCTTAGATGCCTCTGCAGCGCCCTGCCCTTAAAGGGGCAACGGCCACCCCACAGCCAACAGCAACCCCCACCCCGTAGCCCCCCCTCCCCCGCCAGGGGGCACCTACCCGAGGGGGACGGGTGCAGAGAGGCGACACTGGGCTTCACATCCGGCAGGAAGGGCGACTTGACATCCTGACCCGGCGATGCATAGGGGGTGATGACGCTTCCCGGCGTCATGGGAGGCGTGGGGTTCCCGGCCAGTGGCGAGCTGGGGTACCCGCGGCCTGGCTGTGGAGGCACCGCGCACCCTCAGCGCCCGGCCAGGCCACATTGTCCCCCGCACCCCACCTGCTGCCAGGACTCACCCCATTGGCGGCCGCCTGGCTGTAGGTGCCAAAGCCGGTGCTCTGTCCGTTGAACTGGTCAGGCAGCTGCGGGAGGAAGGGGTGACCACAGGGGACAGCAGGCCCCCTCCCGTGCCCCACACCTGCTGTCCCATCCTCCAGTACCTTGTAATACGGTCCGGCGTTGCCTGAGGCAGAGAGGTACTGGCCCATGCCCTGCTGCAGCCTGTGGCTGGCGTAGGACGGGGATGGAGCGGAGGGCTGGGGGGCACTGGGGGCGTACTGGGCACCTGCCGCAGCATACTGCGCACCCTGGAGGTAGTGCTGTGCCACATATCCCTGCGGGGCCAGGGGGTTGGTGTCAGTGGCGGGGGGTTGGTAACAGCACGCCACGGCCCCCCCGTAGTGCAGATGCTCACCTCGCTGGAGTACGCCCGCTTGAGGCCCTGGCGGGGGAGCTGCTGGCCCGGGGCGGGGGCAGGGTAGCTGTGCTGGGGCACCCGTTGCCCACCATACAGGGGGCTGGCACCCAGCGCCCGCACGGGGCTCATGCTGATGGGGGAGACACCAGAGGAAGCCATGACACCTGCCATGCCAGCCGGGCTCATGCCAGTGGGACCGCGGGGTCCAGCGTGGGGCAGGAACTGGCTGCCAAAGGGCTGCCCTGCGCCCATCTGTGGTGGGGAGAAAAAGGGGGTCGCCGGTGGGGGGGGTGGTGGCAGCCGGTGGCCCCCCCAGCTCCACCGCAGCCAGGCTCTTACCGTGCTGAACTGGCTCAGCTCCTGGCTCTGCTTCTCCTGCAGCGCTGCCACCGTCGCCGTAGCTGTGGCTGTGGCTGTGGCGGCGGCGGCGGCCACGGCAGCAGCAGCGGCTGCCTGGGTGAAGTCGGCAGGAGGCCGGCTGGCATGCGAGGGCAGCCCCATCCCATTGGGGCCACCGGGGCTACCCGTGTAGCTGGAGAACAGAGAAATGGGCAAGGGGGGTGATGTGGTGGCCCCCGTGGCAGGCGATGTGGCAGGGTGGTGGGCACAGGGATGGCCTTACCTGGCGGTGAAGCCTGTCCCGCTGGGATAGGCACTGCGGCCATAGATGCCCGGTTGCACGTAACCCTTCCCAGTCGCCCCCTCAGTGAAGGGCTGCTGTGGCAGGAACGGCGGTGAGCTCATCCCCGAACTGGTGCCAGCCATCCCAGGCAGCATGGGGGTGCTGGAGCTGCTCCCCCCGGGGCCCATGGGGCTGCCGAAAACCTGGGGGAGTGGGGAGAGGAGGGGTTTAGACAGGGGGTGGCCATGGCTGGGGTGCCTGGGGTGGGGTTGGGTTGAGGATGCTGGGGGGGCCCCAGGAGGAAAAGGGGGGGCTGAGGATGCTGGGGGGCCCCAGGGCGAGAAAGGGGGCGCTGAGGATGCTGGGGGGTGCCTGGGGTGGGCTGAGGATGCTGGGGGTGTACCTGGCTCTGGGAGGTGTTGCTGACCCCCCAGACGGTGGTTACCACGGAGAGGGATCCTGCCGGCTGATTGGTGCTCGGTTGCCAAGGAACGGCCTCGTATGCAAATGAACCATCACTAGGAAGAAAAACAAATTAATTAAGATGGGGGGGTGGGGAGCGAAAGGGGGGGGAAAAGAGGGTGCTCACCCGTGTGGGGTGGATGGTTTCATGGGGTTCATGGAGTTCATCAGCGGCGGGACAGCGTCACTCTCAAGCAGGGCTGCGGGGATGAAGCGGGAGGG